CCTGCCCCAAAAAGCCCTGATTTCTTTCTCTGTCTTTGGTACCGGCATGTCGATAATTGCTTTGCCTTTTGCAGGTCGACTTCGATTTCTCTTCTGCTGACAATGAACCCGAGTAGCTTACCTGACAAAGCACCAAACCCCCTCCCGGCTTTCTTTTTCGGATGAAGACGAAGACTGTATTTCCGAAATCTGTCAAACACTTTCTTCAAATTCACCGTCTTCTTAAGCCCAAGACTTGGCGATCATGTCATCGACATAGACCTCCATTTCCTTGTGAATCATATCATGAAACAGCGCAGTCATGGCTCGCTGGTACGTCGCCCCGGTATTCTTTAGACCAAACGGCATCACCTTGTAACAGAACGTGCCCTCCTATCCGATATTGTGATAAACGCTCTGTCTTCCTCGGCCATCTTGATCTGGTTATATCAAGAGAAAGCATCCATAAAGGACAGCATCCCATGTCCAGCGGTGTTGTCCACCAGAACATCGATGTGAGGAAGAGGAAAAAAAGATTTTCGGCTTGCCTTGTTTAGGGTCTTTTGACTCACGGAACCAGCTTTCTGAGGGAAAAACCGTTCTCGAAAAGCGTGACCATCCAGTTGAATCTCGTTACCCTCCCGGGGGCGCGCCCACTTTCCACTATTATGGAGCCGGGCCGCAAGCAAGTGAATGTGACCCCGCCCTCCATCAGCCGTTGTGTGTGAGCTTCGCTCCTTATAGCTCTACACCGCCGCCCCGGCCACTTTCGCTCCTCTACCATATGATTCATTCTTTGGAAGTTAGGCACGTGACTCGATAGCGCAGGCACAAGACCTTTGAATGCAAACAAAGAATAGCGAGACCGCATATAGTTTGGAACCCAAGCTTACCTTATTATTATGAAAAGGGGAAGGTTTGATAAAGGAGCTTTTTAGCCCTTTTGCTGAATTGTTGGTCCGCGGCCCCGCCCTGAATAAGGAGAGGCCTATTGATGACCGAGCCACTCTTATACTACTCCTTACCTCACCCCCCCCCTTGTCACTTAAAGGGCGAAGTCGCTGAAGCGAGTCTAAAGGCCAAAGAGTGATCTTTGAACGCTACTACGCATCCTTACTAATAGTATAGTGTAAGGTAGGTTTGGGTATAGCAGGACTTGAACCTGCGACCATTAGGTTAAAAGCCCAATGCTCTACCAACTGAGCTATACACCCAAAAAAGATATAGTAGTAAATAAGGATTGGTGCGGAAAAAAAAGAGGGCGGTCCCTCTTATTCTCATCATATTAAAGGGGCGCGGCTCTGTATGAGGCTCGTACTGCAGGCAGAGCAAGCGAAGAAAACGTAAGGGCGCGCGTTAGCTAGGCCGTTTTCTTGCAGGAGTGCTAACGCGCCCCTTATTGAAAACTCAAGGAAAGCCTTGATCGATATGAGAAACATGCGCTCAAGCACCCAACCTATACAAGGGGCTTGGGCGCCGGCCTTACTCAACAAGCACCTTTATTAGTAAGGTTGCTTGTTTCCACTCATTGAAGATTCTATCTGCAAAAGAAGGTCAACGGGGGATACTAAAGTTGCTCTCACTAACACCATCTACGAGAAGGTGAGGTCGTCTTTCTTTCCAGCCGCCATACAGTTCGCCTTAAAGCCTTAAAGACGGAGAAGGGGAGGAGCGGTTATCTATGTAATTACGGTCTTTGTTGGCCGCGGTCGAGCACTCTCTTTTCTTTGTCCAATTCCGTCTTACCAAACAAGACTGACTTCTGACCAACCCCCAAAAAAAGGGGGCAGCCGCGGTCGAACTCTAATTCTGGAAAAAAGTCGGGGCCCTTTTACCAAGTCTACCGGATAGAAGATGATAGAGGGCCATATCGTTGCGTTGGACAAGACAGTGCCGTCTCACTTCGAGTTCCTTCCTTCGTAGTAAAATCAGATGATACGCTTCGGCGATGTTACCTACCAAAAAAAGGCCTGCTAGGTGATCGAAATCGCTCAGGTCAGTGAGGACTCACTCACTCACCCGCCTACTCCTTATCTATCTAATAGTTTCTTCTATCTACTGAATTCAAAAGGCGACCGGCCGCGCCGGGCTATAAGATACAGTTGTTGTACTACTTTACTGGTAATAAAAAGCTTACGTAAAAACGGAAGACTCTTGTATGTACGGTAACCCTCTCTTCCGCTACTGGTGGACTGTTGCACAGAAAGGCCGACAGAAGCAACGTTTCTTAGCGCGCTTTTCAAGCGCTTAGCTTCGGGCGGGCGGCAAGGCCATAAAGTAAGTTCAGTTGGAAGCCTAAGCCAAGAAAAGTTACGGGCCCCTTTAGAGATAGGGGAGCGGCTTTCCTGTGGTAGTAATTGCGAACATCTCTCCGCGTGCACAGTTTGCTTGCATGCCGCTTTAGGCACATCTCTCTTTCTTAGTTTCACGCTGGCCTAATGAATGAAAGTCAGTCTTTTAGTAAGCGTATATAAACAGCTGTTTAGTGTATAAGCAATTCTTTAGTGGCCGCACCGAAAGTTACGTACGGTGGAGGTTGGTTGAAGATGATGTTACGCGGCGTTCAGAACCAGCCTTGAAGTGAATGAATTAGAAAGAACGAAGAAGTAAGGAAATGAGACGACTCTTTCTTGAACTATATCATAAACAGATCTTCCCCTCCACACCAATCACGAGTTTTTCTCCATTCCTCTCGTATATCGTCGTAACGCCCTTAATGCTAGGTTTTGAAAAAGACTTTTCATGTCATTCCCATTTAGGTCCGATTCGGATCCCTCCGTTGTTTCCTTTTCCTCCCGCACCTTTTTCTCGAAATGAGAAAGAAGATGGTACACTCGAATTGTATTATTTAAGTGCTTATTGCTTGCCAAAGATCCTACTTCTACAATTGGTAGGTCACCGGGTTATTCAAATAAGTTGTGTTTTCTGTGGTTTTCCCATGTTACAACTTCCGTACCAATTCAGTCGATCCGGAATGGATCGGTTAAACATTCTATTAGGGAGCCCGGTCTTGACTCTTCTGTGTGGTATTCATTCTCGTTCGGCTCTTGGAATCACATCCAGCAGTGGTTGGAACAGCTCGCAAAATCCAACCACTTTACCTACTTCATTGCCCCCAACCGTTTCTCGTACCTCTATTGAAACAGAATGGTTTCATGTTCCTTCATCGATTGGTTATTCCTCTCCGTTCGTATCTCTTTTTCCAATTTCGGTCTCGATTAGTTTACAAGATTGAATGGCCAATTCTCCTCCGGACCCTCGCTTCGATTGTTTTCCAAGAATGCTGAGCCGGGTATGTAAGCCATGTATCTGGGAGGAACTAAAAAGAAGAGCTTTCGGTTTTTTGCACCCTGTTTTGGTCTTGCAGCTATTTAAAAAAAAAATTTTTTATTATTTTTTTATAAGAAAGATTATATATATGTCCAATCTCTAGTGGTTGGTTCCACAGCGTGCTCCTCGCTGCCCTATGGAGTAATAAGGGGGGCAAGACTCTCTTTCTCTATTTTTCTCTTTCTCTTTTAGTGCTTTCGTGGTTGTTTGATTATCTTCTTATTGATATCATCATTGAGGTAGATTCACGAATCCCAAGGCAGATCTAAGCCCAGATTCTTGCGTCTACATTCTGGCGCCGCCCTTGTTTAGTGTTAAACGGGGGATTTCGATTTGCCATGTACTTTCCGTCACCTTCTCGTCGTCTTCGATCTCTCTGTTTCAACAGATATTTCTGGCTGAAACTTGCCACGATGGGTTTTCAATGGTCGAAAAGCTCTTTCCCTTGTCATGACCAACCTCCTTCGTCACTTTCGCTCACAGAACCAGGCACCACTGGCATGGCTAGCTGCTACAATACGGGATCGCTAGAAGCGTCAGGCGGAACCCCTTTTTTTGCTCGCTCCAGATCTGATTTAATTCGGCTCTCATCCGAGCAACCTGCACTTCAAACCTCTAATGTCAGTAAGAGGAAGGATTTAATTCCCTTATTCGACCGTGGCTTTTGTTCACGCGGTTCACGACCTCTCGGAAGGGGTTGAGTTGAGTAATAGCAGATGAGGCGGAAAAGAAGAACGCCGGGGGGCCCACGTTTGCGCAGCCTTTCTCTTGACTAAGCCCCGTTTGCTGATTAATTACTATTTAAGTGAAATGGAGGCAGGCTGTCTCTTGAAGTGGAAGGGCAGTTCGCTTGTCTTGCAGCTAGCTCAGGTAGGGATAGAGCAGTGTCCATCGATTGTAAGATATAGATGAATTAGATAGTTTCTCACTATCAAGCTGTGACACTTAATGAATTTCCTCTTCCCGGACTAAACTACAGCAACAGCGGCAGAAGACTCGGGGTTGAGAGGCCAGGCCAATTGGACTTAGACCAATGGCATCTCTTCATGTGGATTCAGGGGTTGACCCAATCTTCGGGAAGCGGATACTAAAATAAGGCTGTATTGTATGCGACACCGCCCTAGCATAAAGGGGTGTAGAAAGAGAGGTTGTTTGCTGGGTCAATCAATGGGGGTTCCGCTTTCTTTCTTGTTCTAAATATGCTTTTTCTCCTCTCCCTTTGGTCGAGCTAGTTTAATCTTCCTCTAAGATTTTAGTTTTATTTTAGAATCTAGATTGGGTTGGTTTGAAGTGTGACACCCCGTACTTTATGGGTGGGTTGGCCAGGACTTTCCTGTAGTGTAGTAAGCCAAGGCAAGGCTTCCTCTGTTGTTTGCTCAGTCCGTACCGTAGCGATGGCTTTTGAACTTCAATAGGCATTGTTGAAGCGATATGACTGAAGCTCTTTGCTAGTGTTTAGTAGTCAGAGATAGGGCGCGAATCCTCCGTTTGCTTCAAAATGACTATTGTTGTTAAAGCGGTGAGTGACCTGCCCCGGCATTCCTTCTGTCAAATCGAGGTAAAAACATGATGCATCTCATCGTCAAAACCAGCTGCAGCTGCCAGTCCGGTTTGGAGACAGACGTGGTAACTTCTGCCACGGGAGTGGAAGTACTCTTAGCCCTTCTGTCTGGTCAATTGGTTGAATCGCTTTGATCGATAAGCATTGGTCCAGGAGTTCCTAGCTTACTTCTTCTAACAACCGATGTTACAACATCCGCTGTTTGATATAAGATCCGCCGTCTCATGCAGCTATTCGGTAGAGTGGAACGAATTGGACAGAACAACCTGAGGTACCTTTACAAAGGCCGGTCCCCGGTTGCCCACGCTCCTGGAAAGCTCTGTAAGAAAGCAGCAGCTTAGTGTCAAATGTTGCGGGGAAGCAAATAGCAGGGGATATCAAGTTTTTTTATGTTGGCACTCTCAAAGTAGAATATGCATTTCATGAACCACTCCAGTTCGAGCACTGGAAGCTACATCAAGTACAGTCCTACTTTCTTAACTTAAAGGGCAGTCTCATATACTAGAGTATACTATAGTGGATGCGAAGCTAGATAGATGGATGTTTTATGGTTCTTTGGTGGCTGTTTGATGATGGGGCTTGTCTTGTCGGTAGTAGGTCAGGTCCGCCCTTTACTTGGATCTGGATCTCATCCCTAGCTCGTAAAGCTTGATTCCAGTTCCGTGTAGTCAGGGTGGTGCTTTTGGCCTTTACGCTCTGGTTGGTAATCGCGGTTGCTGCCCCTAGCCACTGACTATTCTTATTTAAGTAAGCCTACCCAGTTTAATCCCCCTCTCCCTCTCCCTCTCCTATGGTCGAGTGAGTCCCTACCTATGGTCGAGCAAGTTTCACTCCCTCTCGCAGTTAGTTTCTCCGACAAATAGATCTGATCGCAATTCAGATTCTTTTGCCATCACCTTCTATTACTTCCTTGGTCGAGCATCTATCAACACCTGACGATGAGGAGGAATATTACATATTGCCTCAAAAGGCAAGCCACAGTGAAGTCTCCTACTAAATGCTTATTACCAGATCCAACGATTCTCTGTGAAAGGGTTTTTGATCGATTTCCACTCCTAGCCCAGAAGAGAAGGGGCTGCAGATAATTCTATGCTAATTAAGTAGTTTGTTATATCCAATTCTTAAAGAAAAGTATGTATTTGAAGTTTGGTAAGATCTTCCCTCTTGTGAAAGAGAGGAAGGCACTAAGACCCGCTAGAAGGACTCTAAGGGAAGAAAGAAAGCCGTCCTAGTGAGGTGCAATGCTGAAACTGTGATCGGTAAACAAACCCTACAGAAGTCGGAATGGGATACTTCACTAAGGAAGTAGCACCGGCGGTTAACTATACTAATCATAGGCATTCTGAGTTGCGTTTGGGTATGGAATGGATAGGCCCCAAGTGGCTGCCTCTCCTACTACCAATGTGTGTGGGCGGATCATCGCCCCTTCATTCTGGTTCTACTTCATTCGCTATTAACAAGACGGCACACGCAAGACAAAAGATGTCAAATCAGGCCCTTGAAAGGTGTAGATGAAGCCTTTTCCTTTTCTGCCGGAAAACACTTGAAGGATACGAGGCATAAGACTATGGATCGAACTTCTTAAGAGGGAACCGCTACTGCAGCCAATCCATTGAAAGGTGAAGGCAATGCTAAATGCAGGTGCAGACCGATTGGGTTCTCCCTTTTGCTAGGGGGTGATGTTACCAGGTTTTTCGCGAATGTGAGGTTCAAGTACTGCCATCCTTTGTTGGTCGAGTTCGCTGTGTAATTTCAACAATGCCATTCGAAACCGAAAAGGCCGTAGCTGCATCTTTCGAGAAAAATAAATAATAGGTGTCACGCCGATGATTAGGAGAAGTTATGGCTTAGGGAAGGGCGCTTCTGCCCAGATCTATGATTGATCTAGAATTCCCCGAGACGAGACGAACTGTCGATTCTCCGATAAATGTCAATGACTTAAACATGTTTCCGAGACTTCAACATACATGTTTGGCAGCGGCAAGGAGTTTTTTTTTACTTCCTAACACGGATACCAAGACAGCTGAGCAGTGAGGAATATTACATATTGCCTTTCAGTCTCGAAGCAAGCTGTGGTACAATCCCTACTTCGCTCCGGCTCGTTCCGTTCCCGTGTACTATACTTTCTATTCCTATCCCGCAGTGAACGAAGTTCGCGATGGGTTAAGGGGCCTATAGTATAGAGGGATCTGGGATTCGGTATAATAACTCCTCGTAATTCAGGCGAGTGGAGGAAAGTGAAGTTGACTGTTGGAGGAAAATAGGCGAGCCCTACTAGTACAATAGTCTACGGAACTAAAGGAACTACTCGGCTATTAAGAGACAAAATAGATTCGGCTCGTTGGCTCTATAGACTCACTCTCTTCACAACGAGAGGAGTTTACTACACGTATGGCCTCGTTTAGCCTTGTCTTAAACGGTGGCTCCGTGGTCCCAAGTGCTCGTCTTTTTAACTTCTCCCTGGAACTGTTGATCCCTTCCGCTCCGTTCGTTCCGAACTCGCGAGCGAAGTTTTGGCATGTCAAGTCTCTTTTCTTTCAACTCCGCTCGGTGATCGCTCATGGCTAATATAGGTAGGTCCAGAGCTAGCTAGTGTTCAGAAGTCACTTAAGAGATTGAATTGAATATGGGTCCTATTAGAATAGGCTATAAAAGAGATAGAGATTCGCATTCGGGAAGGGAACCATAGCAGCTGATAAAGGCTGCTGGTGGAGCCGGAGAAGAACGGGGATAAGGGCTGGTAAGTACTAAAGCTGCTGGAGCGGCTGCCTTCGCCCACGAAGGAATCGGAATCTCGCTACTTCCCCTAACTGTCCTAGAGCAGGAGAGAGTGAATCTACAAGCAGGGAATAAAAAAAAGAATAGGCGCCTCTATAGTCTTCCTTTTCTTGCCGCTTCGCTTCCAGACATAGGATATATTAGATTAGAGGAATGAATGAGGTATTGCTGACCAGGTAAGAGAGATCTTCCTAATTACACCAGTAAAGCCGGAGTAAGTGGATTGGCGTTACGTTATCAGATCCAGACGAGCTCAGAGCCATAGCCTATGCGAGCCTTACCGGATCTCTTGTACATTTTTTCAGTTTACTTTACCTATGAGAGAACCGGCATATTCTTACTAACTAAACAAAGGAGGGCTTAGTGATTTACAACCTCCGGAAAGGAAGTCGTCTTTCAAGTCAAAAAGTAATAAAGGTGCCGAAGGCGAAAGGAGAATCCGCGTCTTTTTCTCTTTGTTTACGGAAGGATTAGTAGAGTAGTGTGCTTAGGTCGTGGTCTAGAGTACTTCCTTCCGCGCCTTGGTTAGCCGAAGAGAAGTGTGCATGAAATGGTGGAGCTCCTATGGGTCAACACAAGTTGCGTAGACTTCAGACCCACTTTGCTTTCACGATTTTACCTTGGCATTCCATCAATGAATTCATCTTCCGCTTTGCACTGGCCCCATTCCTAAAGTTCGTATTCTTCGATCATAAAGGTGAATCAAAGTCTAACTAAAGCAGAAAGAGGATAAAAGGGAGCCTGTCAATCCTAAGAATGTGGTCTCAATCCTTGCGTTCCGGGCAAGCTGAAGTTTTGTAACAAGCCCCCTGATCCGCATGTGTTAAGCATATAGTCTCAGTTTAGACTTCTTTCTCGATAGAGCGGAACTAGGACTCTAAAAAGAACAGATTGTACTACAGGCTGAGACCTCGTGAGGTGGAATGAGAACCTACCCCACATTTCCATTTTATATAAGACAGACTGCGGGATAGGGCAATGGAGAGAGATGTGATATCAAGGACTTCGGCAAGGAGACATATAGCTTAGCTTACTTAGGAGGAAAGAATGACAAAATTCGGAATGGAAAAAGGGTGGATGCAATAGAATCCGCTCTCATTAGCAGGAATTCTCTTAAAAAAATAAGAAGACTCGCTTTCTGTACTAAAAAGACTCTTTGATTCGTTTTATATTGACTATCTAACGGAAAAGACGGTTAATAGGATTATTGTACTGAACTAAATATGGAACTGAATTCCGCTAAAAGACTGTTTGACTTCTCTTCTTTGTTAGTTTAGATCCCTCGGACTCGTTCCGGTGAGTAGAAGCAGAATAGAAAACGTAGGAAAGTTTCGTTTATTAGCCGCTGGCGGTTCTACTTACTTGTGAACATGAAGCCTTCCTTTCGAAATGAAGAGAATGCCTCCGGGGATGTAATGTAGCTGATCACTGACTACTGAAAAAGTACAAGTAAGCTCCAACCCCGTTACATAATTCATAAATTTATAACAAAAATCTTTCTTCGATCGGAAAAAAAAGACAAAAGAATGGTTTAGCCAATGATAGACTGAGCACTAACCCAATCTTGAAAACCTCCCCGATTTCCACAGTCTGATGACTCACTTAAGGACGGCGTTAGGCGAAGATATTTCCTATGACTTAACGGAAAGAGGTCTTCCTTCTCATCATAGTGAGCCTCATCTTCAAGAAAGATCGACGAATGAAGAGAGGATTCACTCACTTCATCTTAGATATTATGCCTTTATTTTTGGAAGTCTTCTCTTGGTTGTCTTGCTAAATAACAGAGCAGCCTTCATCTCCTAAAGGGAATTGTAGTGTAGTCGAGTATCAAATCATGAATTCATAAAATAGAATAAGTCCCTATCGCCTGAACACGGGAAAGGTTAGGCATCTATCTTTAGTGCGTTAAGTGAAATAAGGGTCGTATTCTAAGTTTCTTCCGCTTTCTGTTGTAGGATTCGAGAAAGTCTTTTTGGTTCCATAACCTCCATGGTTATGTAGCTCCTATGGGATGATTCAACCCATGATACGTATGTTGATTTAGCAAGCCAATGCCTTAAGCCTTATCCCAGTAGCTCAGTAGTAGAGCGGTCAGCTATTCACCACTGATTCGTCGTAGGTTCAAATCCTACCTGGGATCTTATTCTCTATCTATCCATTCAAAGTGGACAAGAAAGAAAGCATAGTACCCAGCGGATTTAGAAATACCAGCAGTATTAAAGTCAGTGGTGATACATTAAAGAAAGCGAAGTGCTAGTGCCTTTGTACAAAAGAGAGAGGTTGTACACAAGTCTTTAGTTTTTCTTTAAGGGGTTAAGGCCCCTTTCGAGCTTTACTAATAGATAGGGGTGGCAAGCTTTAGAGAGTAGGGGCTAGGTCACCATACTCTCTCCATGCTTCTATTTGCATAGTCAATGCGGCTCTGGCATTTTGACCCGAATTGGGCCTACTTTGGCCGTGGGTCAGGCTTTCCATGACCTGCTGGACAGGAAGTTGAGTTATGAGTTAAGGGGGGGGGAAGGTAATTTGAATTAAACTACGATTTTGTTACTAGTCTGAAACTGCTACCCCCGCTGCCCTAACTGCTGCTTTCATTAGTGAACTTTGAATCCGCTTACCGGTCCTCGGTCTATTTTTCCCTTACCCGCAGCTAACCGCTAAACAGTCTAAATCAGTAGCCTCACAGCTATTTCTCTGTCCTAACTAGGGTTTCTTTCAAGCGAGCCCATTCTTTCTTTCTTTCAGCTTTGTTTCATTCTCCCATTCAAAAAGTTCAATAAGAGATAGAACGGTTCGATTTCTTACTCTTTTCTTTGACCTCCCCTAACTCGAGACCTTGACTCTTCGGGGCTTACCAATCATGATTGTTTGACGAAAAATGCTCTGATCCCAGTTTGGGACTTCCTCCTCATGTCATGTCACGAAACGCATTCGAGACTTTTCACTTGAATATATATGTATAAGAGAGAGAAAGAAAAATTGTGATCTTCACAACTGGGGAAGAGGAGTCGCCTACCCCACGGAAGGATCATAGATCTCAATAAGTGGATCATGAGTCAGTACGTCAACAATCAGAAAAATCTCCATATAGCACATTTACCAATCCAATCTAAGGATTGTTTGTCAGGTCTTTCCAATGCCGGGTAAAGGATCAGCAGCAAACCACCTTTTTTTACAAATGATTGTGATTGTATTGTGGAATTGAGGCAGGGGACGGTGCTAGACGACTCGGCGATTCTACCCTTCTTTTTTTCCCAGGATTGGATTGTCGCCTTACTGCTTGACGAGAACAACCTACCACTGACTTTTTTTGAAAGTACCTCTCTCATTACACCAAACGAGTCTGTCTTTTACGATAGGGCTTGAGATCGGTCCACCACTAAGGATCTATGGTAGATCAAAGAGCGCAGAGAAGATTGCCCACCACTAGTTCTTGTACGCGCTATAATATAAGATATAGGCTTTCTATGAAAGCTCGTAGGATCCGCTGACAAAAGAGAAAGGGATTCGGACTCGCCTGGTTCATGTCTATCGAAGAGGGATCTCAAATTGCGCTTGACCGCCGACTCGTAGCATGGGTGATAATTCTTCCTTCTGTTTTTCCGTCTTCTTCTCTGCCGAAAGGAAAGACAAAGGCGAGGGAGTCCTCGGATGGGGAAACCCGCGATTGAGAGGTCAGATCACACCATCCTCATTGATCCAACTCGGGTTGGTATGCTCACAAAGAGAGACCAATCCACATGTGTTTAAGTTTGAGAGCCACCTTGTTCTCTATGGGTCGAATCCCCCGACCAAGACCTTGTCGTGGATGGAGTTGCCCGATGATAATATGACTTACTGTTTATGTTATGGCTCCGTTGCTGGACAGTCAGCGGGAATTCCGGGCTGTCCTTGACAAGTGATCAATCCAAAGAACTCCGATCGATGGAAGAAAGCGAGCACTCAACCTCACCTAGATCTTCCTTTGTTGCACCTAATGGAGAAAGAAGACTGGTAATAGGTTTCTTTTGGAAAAATAGATCTAAGTTTAGCCTGTTTTCTTTTGATTCATCCAATTGTGGAGAGTGAGTCTAGTATCATACTTCCAATTCCTCTAAAGGAGTTGACCCGAATCAGTAAGAGGGATGATATATTGACAGACTTATCCCTGGACCATTTTCTGCCTACTTTACTGTCCTGGCCCTACCCCCTACTTGTGAATGAAAGCACTACGCCAAGTCTTTTTTTTATTCCTTACTCTATTGGCTGGCTCGCGGGACTACTTGACCAGTGGAACCACTCCATTTGATTACTAATTATTCATTAAGCCCATCTTTAATTCATACTAATTTATTTAGGGAGGGATTTCTCGACTCAAATTGGAAAAAAAGAACCAAAGGCCTCACTCCTCATGACAAAGTGGTCACACTAAATCAACCTGGGATTCCCAGCTTTTCAAGGCAAGGGTTTTTTCAATCTGTAAGAGGAAGAAGCTAAGAGTCACCAATACAAATGATCGCCCGCTGCACCTTTCTTCTCTTATCTTATGGGGCGGGCAAGTTTTCTCTGCCCCGAAGTTCAAGCAAACCTAGGTTGATGTTGACAATGTGTGGGAAGGATCCGTTGAGCTTAGTAGCTCAGGATTTGCATCTTCTCCAACAAGGTGCTCATGCAGTAAATGACTATGTTCTGTATTCCGGTTTGAGGCATGGTCAAAAATTAGAATTCTGATTTCGATTTTGCTTCTCCAGATCGCCCAATGGGAGACAGGGCTTTCGCAATCCCGAGGACAAAAGTAAATCAGAATAGGCTTAGAGGGAGAAGGAATCCCCAGCTATTGATTCAGCTACTATTGAATCCAATCCTAGGGCATTAGCGGAATAAAATAAGAGCAGTGGGACTTGAGCTAGTGGGATTAAAGTATGAAAAAAGAGAAGTACAAGCAACTACATCAAAAACCTCTATTCCTGACGTGAACTCTAGTCGCTCTCTATGTTCATTTTTCTTTAGCAAGAAGCCCTGTGAAAGCTATCTCATTCATATAAGATAATAGGGGATAGTATACCTGGAATAAGTTTTGAGATGCAAGAAAGCAAAGAGGTAATAGGCGCAATCAGGCAAGCAGTTAAGCGACTTCTGTCTTCAAGATATGCCTTTTATATATAATACTATTATTATTATACAGGTGAGTAAGGTTCCTTCTGGGAACTCCTGCCTTTGTTTGGATGGACCATAGGCCTGATGCTAGGAAGCAAGAAGCTAGAATAGTGTAGTGTAGTGTAGTTCGAGCATTAAAAGGCAGCTAAGGCAAGAAATCAGTACACGAATCCCCGGCATTTAGAAAGATATGCCCGCCCCCTCTCTTAACTTTAATACACTGTGACTAAGAGACTCTCTTCAAGTGGAGTGAAGCCAGCGCTTTAGGGGCTGAGGGGGGAGAACAAATGAAGCCCCTATACTTTTCTTTTCCTTAAGGCTTTCCCCCTTCAAAAGCTAGTCTAATCACGGAATAACCTGTCGTATTGGACTTATGATGTACTTTCCTTTATTGAGTAGCTAATTCATACCTATCATAGACAGAAAAAAGTTATATTACCTTTTCCTTTAACACTAGACTTGTGTAATAGGATCTTTCCGAAGGTGGAGTTAAGGCAGCAAGCATAGGTGCTTCAGTTTCCGGTACCGGGTAATCCGGTATGTGTAAATAAAATCCGTCCTGGTAGGCGCAGTAGATCAAGCAAAGCATGACGGTCTTCAGTCTAGCATTCCTGTAGTTCAAGAGTGAATAAGGAAGTGCAAGGCTAGCTGACAGCTGTCAGATGAGTTCATCGCTCTCTATGGTCATATTTTTCTTTCATTTAAGCTTCAGGCCAGTTAAAAAGGAGCTCTGATAGGCCTGGAATCAGTATCGGTTAATTGCCTCTCTATTGGAATCAGGCCTCTTCAATCGATCTTCTATTTCTATATAGGCTAATGATTCCATTTTTTGATAAACATGTGATTCGCATCTTGCTTTCAAAACATTTGCTACTGTAGCCGTAAATTTTGATAGCCGATGGGCTGTGATAAGACTGGAATATGCAGAAAATGTAAATTTTAATGTATTGAAAGAAAAAAAAAGAAACAAAAAAGTTTAGCCACAGTGGGATGACTAGGCAGGAAGCTAGAGATGCAGCTCGCCTGCACATTGGCGATACGTGTTTGCTGGATTATGAAATCAATGAACAACGTAATTGTTGGAGGTTACATTGTCCGTCGTGGTGTGAACCCATTAACTAGTGTTTTAGAATACTCAATCAAGGAGCTTGGGAATGGTGTTCAGGTTGATGAGGCGGAACCTGAAATGGTTTCCTACCCACACCAGAAAGATTGCCTGGGGCTGCTGCTTACAGTGATGTGGCCTACTTGTATACTAGTGTTCTATGGGGCTACCCGGAATCTATAGTGGCATGTGATATATGTGAAATATGGCATCACAGTCGCTGAAGTGGCATTGAGGATGCGGAAGCTCTGCCACCTGTTTGTTCACACAGGGCGATTTCGGGGGCCTTTGCTTCGAAAGGGGCGTAGCGGAAAGAAGTAGCGGAATCAGGCGACTTGCCACACACCAGGAAGAATTCCTTCTTAGGCGGATCTAACTCTTTTGACAAATGCCCAGAAGCGTCTGTATACTAGTTCAGTTGAGAACAAGGTGTCGAACTAGACTGATAACTGATCGTCTATCGAATCGCCTCTTTAAAGGCAGGATGCCGAGAATCCTCTCTCTATCTACGAAGAGCAGGCATGTGTGGGACTTTAGGACAAGACTCTGCAAGACCTTTCGTTTAATATGCCTTCTGTACTGTATAACCGGTCTTGGCAAGAACGCCTTCTTATAGAAGAAGCTGCGATGAAGCGAATCTCTCATCTGGAACCCTCTCATTGCCAGCTTGACGGCTTGACTGCATTACCTTCCTCACCTTCCCTTTCTTTGTCCCTTAACTGCTGACAGCAAGCATTCCTGGAGCTAGTAATCTGCCAAAGAATATAAAAGAGAAGTTGCATCCTAATCCGCTCCTGGTGGAAGGGTTGAAGGAGGAATTGCACAATGTGCTATCAAATCCGCTGCATCGAATGCCCTGTTTGGCTCTTTGATCGAAGGAGCTGTTAGGGGAATGGGATTGATGGAAGAATTGGACAAATAAATACTGTTTGCGACGAATACGCTGCTAGTCTTTTGGATGCGGGATTTCCGCTCTTAGGGGAAGATCCGCTCTTTTAGCCCACTTTTTTAGACATCTATTAGACCGTAGGGCACGAACGGAGTGGTTTAACACTTTTGTCCAATTCCTCATCTGCAGAGGGCATTCTTCCAAACAGGGTTTATCCCGCAGCCCAACTTGCTCCTATGTTATGTACTTGTCGGCTTAAATCGGGCTAAGCCCATTTCCTCCAACAGTAACCGCGCATTCGATTCCTTGTATTCTCTAACAGCTCCCTTCTACCCATGAATCCGATTTCTATCTTAAGTATGTCAATTGTTTGTCTTCTTTCCTAGGATCCCATATCTGATTCACGTCGAAAAGAAGCCCTTTCTAGGCCCTTCGGATTCACTTTCTAAGAGGTCATTCTTTGTCCCTCTCTTGGATTAACTGGGATGAGATAAATGCTCTTTCTACTAATTTAATATCTGTCTCGCCTGCCGAATCCTTAGCTTAGCCTGCCTTGTCGAGGTAAAGGATTACTACTAACAGGGCATTTGATGCATCAACTATGTCAGTTCCGTTCCTTGCTGGAGAAAAGTGTTCTCTTGCTCTGAGAATGGAATGCTAGCACTCTGTCTAAAAAAGCGGCTGTTCTACTATATAAGATATAAGAAAATCCTATCTTTGCCATCTTGCTGTGAACAAATCGTCTGTTATCAAATGCCACATCTGACCTAGAAGGCGTCGACATGGTCAACAACTAGACAAAGTCAAGCAGGAAAGACAGCAAGTCCCATCGGCCCGTAATATAGCATACCCTCCGATCAAGAAGTTCCTTGCCTTACCCAGCGTCGAAGAAAAGTTCCTGAACTGAGCTCACTGCCTTCATTAAGGAAAGGTAATCCGGTTGCTTGAAGCTCTCTTCCCGTGTCGATGAAGGGCTATTCCCACTACGCGCTAACTAGAAAAGGAGGAAATGAAAGAGAGTGGGGGCTGATTCTCTAGCAGCTCCCTCTGGCGCTATTTAGCCCTTCTTTCCCAAGCGATTCTCTTGTGTGCCTTTAACTATTGAAAGGACAGGATCACTATGACCTCTGGCTCAAGGACTGGCCTTCTCTTCTTTTAATGCCTACAGAGAGGCCTGCAAGAGCCCTTTTAAGGCATGGATTCCTAAAGGTTCTAAGGCCTATTACTTGACTGAAAGAGTACTCATATTATGGGGGCCTCCCCCAGACCCCCTATCTCGCTTTTTCATTTCCGTTGTCCCTCAACAAATAACATAAGTGAAGTGAAGTAGCGCTTCATCCCAGGCGACACCTCCGGCCGCCTATGACAGAGAGGCCCTTCCCCCCTTTGAAATGCGGAAGCTCGCTTTATCAGACAACGACTTTAGAAAAGGATGAACGGGTCATTCGTCGCGGGCCTTTCCTGTTCCTGTTGACAGTTGGAAGGCGGGTGAGTTGATTGGCAAGCCAGCTAACGGGGCCACGAAGGGCCCAACGGATTGAGGGCTCGAAATTCTATACTTAACACAGTGAGTTCGAAGTCCTCATTCACCACCAACATGCTTCAATCCGGGCAGAACCCGATCATCGAGAGAGCATGAAGCTTGCTGGCGACATCGGTGTCGGCGGAGTGTTTCGCAAACCTCCCAGCCTCACCCTAGCCCTAGGGTTGGCTCCGAGATAGGGAAAGTGGAACCCTAATTCTATATAGATCTCTCCTTGTAGATCCTTTATAAACAGGGCAGCTATCCAGGATCTCCGCTTTCACTTTCATACTCTCCTTTATGTTATGTCGCGTGTTTCGCTCGCTAAGGCGAGCTCCACTCCCATGCTTTCCGTTGGTCAACAACCAACAAAAGTTATCTATAGTTCTTCACTACTCCTACAGGCTTGACGGAGTTAAGCTGTCTGGAGGGAATTTTTTTTTATCAAAGAACGCATGCCCTTTTTTCATTTTAAAAAATGGTTCTGTTGCTTGCGAGGGGCAACCCGCGTTGAGCAATTCGAACCCAATCTTCAACTTTATTGGGAGGAGGTAGGCTTCCAAATGCCCGGTCCGGATCCTACCGACTCGCCACAACAGTGACTCTCTAAGTGTTCGGCGATTCTTGAGCACTATTATACCTTTTATAAAAGTTCTGTTCCAGAGCCACACACCTGGCTGGAACTAGCGAACAACCTTGCTGGAGCGACTCCCAGGTGCTCAACAACTACTTTTGGAATTACACAATCCATCAAGTGAGATCTACCTAGAGGGAGTGAGAATCTTACTTGCATGGAGCAGTGGCGTTTCATGATTCCTTTTTCTTTTTTTCCATGCTTTCCGTTGGTCAACAACCAACCACAGCTCTCTATAGTTCTTCACTACTCGTACAGGAAGGTAAGAACCACTTTTTTTTCTGGAAGGAAGCGCACCCTTCCCGACAGCACCTTTTACAAGTACATCGAATCGTTAGCGCTGGATAAGGCTGAGGTTGGATTTTGTAAAGCTCTGCTAGGGAGAGTGGAGTCGCTTCAGCGGGAGCACTACAATAATGGCGAGCATATTCCCTTTTCATTCACAAGTTCCAGGGAGAAAAATCGATTGTACTCCCTTATGTGGGAATATGCTCGCGAGGAATAGAAAGGGGGGGGACAGGTTGGTTCGAGGACTCGTTGGTCAAAGGAAAGATGGAAACAGGGGAGTTGGCTGATAAAGATGGACAGTAACGATCGCGTAATATCAATTTATCGGCCTCGTCATTGAAAGCGGCTTCCAATTGCTCGGAAATTCTAAGCTATATGGGGGGCTTGGATGGTGAGCAAAAACAATTGATCAAGAAGTTGGTCAACTTTCGCATGAAAGAAGGTAAAAGAACGAGAGTTCGTGCTATTGTTTATCAAACTTTTCATCGCCTAGCTCAAACCGAACGCGATGTAATCAAACTTATGGTTGACGCCGTAGAGAATATAAAGCCCATATGCGAAGTGGAAAAGGTAGGAGTAGCAGGTACTATTTATGATGTCCCTGGGATTGTAGCCAGGGATCGTCAACAAACCTTAGCTATTCGTTGGATCCTTGAAGCAGCTTTCAAACGACGTATAAGCTACAGGATAAGCTTAGAGAAATGTTCATTTGCTGAGATACTGGATGCTTACCGAAAGAGGGGAATTGCACGTAAGAAAAGAGAGAATCTTCATAGACTGGCTTCCACCAATCGAAGTTTCGCGCATTTCAGATGGTGGTAAAGTGAGACCACATAAAGAGCTCTTCCTCATTCAGTCTGATTATTCAGTAAGATATGGTTTGACCCTTTTTCTTTTTGTTTGAATCTTCATATAGAAAGCCGGCCTTCCTCATACTCCTCCCTTCATTCATTGAGTTGGAGGAATCCATAGGGGCCCGCCCGTTATGCATTCCATGAAATAACCCTTCTTTGTATGACTTCTCTTTTGCCTCAGGTCGAATGAATACGAAAGGGAGATCAATCAAAAAAGAGGCCATGAATGAAGAAGTAGTGGGCCTTTCACCCTCTTTCTAGTGACTCGGGGAGCTGATCTGATAAATGCACTTCAAAGGGAGGGAAGCTAGGTTTCCCATGTTGGTATGGCCGGGCATAAAAGATTTTGAAGTTAGGTCAAAAAGAAGAGGTAGAGAGAGAGAACAGAACGGAACCGATAGCCCCGAATTATGTCAGGGCAAGAGAAAGAAAAGAAAAGTAAGGACTCTCGTTTTCCGCATACGCATATAGGCTGTGAAAAAGAAGTCCACTTTTCCAATAGAGAAAGAGAGTGATTCGTCTACTTTGTTAATAAGGTAACGGAACGAACTTCAAGTACTTCGTAGGACGCCGCCGTTTGCTAAGATGTGCTTCCACATCGTGAGCTTTAGTGCACAAGTCGTCGAATCCCTTAAAGGTTTGGGGCAGGGGACGACAAGTCGTGCCTGAAGTTGTTCATGCACATCTTGAGGAGCTCTTGCGGAGTAAACTTCTGGGGACAGGCAAAAGTAGGGGCTCGCCACCTTGCAATGAACTCCGTGACAGGTTCATGCTTGGTCTTGAGTTGTTCGGGCACTCCAACCCTTCTTTGTGTGTTGCTGAACTGCTTCCTGAACTCCGAGACCCTTGCTTCCCAAGTCGGGATCGACTCTTCAGAGAGGTGGGCGTACCGTGTAAAGGCGGGCCCCTCCAATGATTGTACGAAAAGCCTAAGGCACAGTGCCCCATTCTGCGCTACCGGCCCACATCTTACCAGGAAATGCGCTAGATGCTGGTGCGGGTCTCCCCGTTCCGTCGAACTTTAGTCTGGCTGAGAGAACCCTGGCGTATACGGCACGGAATCTATCCAAGCCGGATAAGGTTTGGTGATCATGTGGTTATCCTCCTCCTTTTCCTTGGCCTCTTTTACTCTTTTCTTGACCAACTGATTCATTGTTGCGAGGAGGGTTGTCAAGCTTGTATAAAAAAGACGTATAATAAATCGTTGATTGCTATTCTTGAACCTCTTCACCATGCTAATAAGATTCAGGAATTCTCCAACAGAATGGGTTTCCACTTTTCATTGGCAAATCAAGAGGCAGATGATAAAATATGGCTCTGTTGGAATCATGAAGTGAATGTAGTGCTTGTCGACGCGTTTGAACAGTGTATCACAGTCGACCTTAATTCTGATCTGGTAAGGCTTACCATTGTTTATGCAAAGTGCTCCATTCAGGAGAGACGGCTTCTTTGGGAAAAACTTCAATTACTGTCCTAAGACATACAAGGTCCATGGATGGTTGCGGGTGATTTTAACGCAATTTCATATGTGTCTGAAAACCTTGGTGGCAGACCTCCAAATCTTTATCTTTAGAGGAATTCAAATGAAAAATTCACGGACTCGCCATTTCTGTGAGAGATCCGATCCCAGTTGGTTTCAACTTTTTCTTCCCTCTCAATTCCATCCATATCCCGCCTTCAATCTGAATGATCTGGAATTCATTTCCAATTCCTTATATCAACTAATGGGGATACCGGGAGGGAGGAGAGAAAGCACCCCGCTAACTTTTTCTTTCTTCTACCAATGATCAGTAGATTGAGCACTAACGGAATATCGAGAAAGAAAGAGCGGAGCAACTACATCAAAAAAGTGGGAAGTAGTGCTTTCTACGGCTACTTTCTCTCTTATATTATGATATTTCGAGTTAGAGGCGTGATCTATTATATCAACTAAGTGAACGAGGTACAGAGAAAGCGAATGTTACGAGCCTGTTGACGTTTTCTATATTTTTCATTCCGGTGGGACAAAGGTATTCCTATTTTATTTAATTTAAAGATAAGTTACACGATCTAATCTACTAAAAAGCCTGGGTGAAATAGAGGTCATAGGTTAAGTACAAGACAGAGAGGAATTTGGTGTTGCAGGATTGATGACCGGAAAAGGGTTAATAATTTGTTGATTAGTTTTAGCAGGTATATTGGTATGAATGAACATATTATAAATATAGAATATAGAAGAATCTCGCCATACGGCACGAGCAGTTGAGTACTATCATGCCTTTGTTCTGTGAAAGAAACTAAAAAACTTGCGAAGCACGCACCTCAATTACCCTGCCTGTGTGAATTGAACGAACTGACAAGTACAACCAGCTTGCTTAAGCTGGGTTTCCACCTATTTGTGAGTTTCGGCCATTTGAAGCAAAGTCTAAAGGACGTATTCGTTGCCGATTTGGGGTTCTGATGGAAGATACTGCTGAGGTTATACACAAAGTACACACGTGATTCTGCTCTGGAAAAACTCCCTGTGGTCCAGAGAGAGATGAAGTTTATAGTCAACCTCTGCCTCTCAGATAGCTTTCTTTTCCAACACTTCTATGTAGAGATGGGTGTAATATTAATATGATTAATAGTTTAAGTTTACTTGCAGTTTTTCAAAGTCTCAAATTTAGGGCTTGGTTCTGGCCTTGTTTCGTAGTGAATTTATGGATTTGAATAATTATAACACTGAATTCTAATTTGAAAATTCAACTTGACTTGTACCCGGAACAGGGAATAAGGATATCCAATTTAAATCCGGGTTCTTTTTTCTATTTTGCGCTTAGATGTGCTCGGCAGATGCTAAAGAAAAAGAGCGTGATGGCAAAGAGTTGATCGAGCGAATAATCACAGTTCTCAACTATCACGACTACTGGCGGAATTTCACTCAATTAAATAAACTATACCCTCATAAAACGAAGTAGTACTCCCCTTAACACAATTTTAATGTCATTCTCGACTCTATCCCTGACTGGGTGTTTGATTTCAGGCCCTTTCGAGGGAGGTATCTGATTGGTTAATGTCAGCCCGGCTTGCATGGACTTCCGGTGGTTCTTAGTTGACAACTGCATTGCAATTTTAAATAAAAAAGTAAAAAGATGCTTGTACGCACATTAGATTTGCTAACTCAATTGATCCTACTGTGTCTAGATCAGGGTTCCCGTTTAAGAAAGCTGTGTTAGCTTTGTATTGGCTCCCATCTTACTTAACGGGGGCCCTAGTTGAATACCGATCAAAATTGTGTGAAATTTTTTAACTTTTCTAATAGAGAATTATTAGTTATGTAAAATACCCCGAAAAGTCCTCATTTACCCCGGCAGGTAAGCTCCGCAGCGAAAGGAATGAAATCCTCTGCTGCGGTCGTGAAAGGTGATCAAATCAGTTTACCTTCTAAGAAGCTATTGGCTATATGCTTAACACATGCAAGAAAAAATAGAATAGATAAACTTTCTTTGTTAGGTCAGGAAGCAGTAAGATCAGTAATGGTCCAAAAAGAGGAATAGCGGCCTTATAACTGTTCTTCTCTTTCTTTCTAAAAGGTGATAGATAGAAGGACTACTAGTACTTTACTAAGAAAGCTATCCGTAGATGCCTTATTCAGTCTTAGAGCTAAGAGTTAAGCGCTTAAATCAATTCAAGCCGTTTGGTTGCTAAATGCAAAAAAAAATTTATCAAAAAGATTTTTTCATTACTACTACATAAAGCACTACATTACATAAACAACCACATATGCCTTTAATAGAGCTTTAAAAGCATTATGCTAACTACATTAATTATTTAAAAAACATAAAGAAGTCAAAGGATAGGCCTTAACAAGTAGACAGAAGATAAAGTCACGACTTTTTTTAATTTCTTCTAGTGGTTTTCCCGGTCACCGAGGGTGACAGCCCGCACAATGAGTGCTTGCTGCTCCTCCTGCAGCACTTGCAGCCTCCTCTGCCTTTCCCTTATACCCTCTCTGGCAGCGCCAATGCGCTCTTCTGCCTCTGCAGGATCTCTTGCTCTAACATTTCTTAAAAAGAGGTTTAGCGCTCTACGACGCTCTTCAATTTCATTTTTCAGTTGCCCCATTTCGGCAGCAATTGCGGAAAGCCTGTTTGTAACAGCCATAGCCATACGTGCTATTACTCAATTTCTTTGATTTGAATTTGATGAAGACACTTATCGAGCCTCTATTTATAGAGTGGTAGAGGAATCTCGCCATGCGTCACGAATTAGATGGCAGGCACAATTCTTACTAGTTCTCCGCACTACTTTTCTGCAGTTGAAGACTCTCATGCCTTTTTAATGAAAAACTGGCTGGCTCTGGCTACCTTGCGGAGCAAACAAAATCTCCCCAAATCACACTGCCTGTATGAACAAACAAACTTTGCACAACCAGCTTACGTAGAAAAGATTCCATGCCAATAGACTCGTGACATCCATGTACTGAGTCGTCAAATGAGCCACGTTAAGAAAGCCCAAGCTTATACGCATTGGCCCACAGGGTGTCCCAAGAGGGCCCGAATGAAAGACCCAAGCTTACATGAACCATCAAAGAAAGTCCTACAAATAAAGACTTGGGCCTGTCAAGCCTGCTTTCCTCGATGGAAGCCCACAGAAGGGCCAAAACACAACAAGCCTACCCATCATCAAAGCAAGCCCAAGCCCATGCAAGAAGGACCTCATTGTCATGGAAGCCCTTTCCTTACTCCTCAATATAGTCTATGAGAACGTTTTTCTGACCAACTCTCATGGCTTTAGGAGGGGGCGGGCCCCTAAGCTAGCTCTCGCCTTCTTCAGGATTTGCTCCACAATTCCAGCTATGATCGAATGAATGAAGTTAGAAGCTAAGGGCTTTGGTCGAGTGCTTTGCCAATCATTCTTCTATGTACGAGAGTCATAAGGCAGGGGAAAGAAAGGCAGCTAGGAAGACAAGCTAATCCGAAAGGGCCAGCCCGAGCCAAGGACTAACAAGAAAGAGGAGAGACCGAGATGTGATTTGGCAGATGTACAGCAAATTTTGTGGGAATTCAGAGCACCTGTAGGTCTAGCTTTCTAGTTATCTTAAAGCAAGTTTTGCAAATTAGGGTCTTATCATTGCTTTTTAAAGTAAAAACTTCCAAACAAGATCAATTATTTTAATGCTTTGAGTTTATAGTAAAGAACAAGAGACTTTTTCATTTGGTGAATTTTAAACGTTTTCTTTATGGAAATCAAACTTGGTCTCGGTTTTCCTGGAAAAGTCTTGAGCTAACCTCTTTAACTCCCCATCGTCATCTCTAGCACCACACTCACATCTCACCATCCAAGTATCAGATCCACCTTCGTACCTCAAAGGCGTGTCTAAATCTATCCCACTTCCACTCACACCAACTCCTGCTCCCGATTCAACTACTCCAAAAAGTACTTCCATATCCTCCATTTCATCCAAGCCTTCGATTCCGATAACCACAAACCATTCTGTGATAAAAGAAGTATCCCTCAGTGCACTTTCAGCTGCTTTCTTTAGGTCTCCAATAGTTGCATGCATAGGCACTACTACTATCTCACCAGGTGGCAAGCCCCTCTTGACTTCAATTTCCTTATCAGTTGAACTGGGCAAGAGTCGGCAAATGATTGTCAACCACTGCTCTTCCTCTCCCTTTGGTCGAGCTACTTTCCTCTTCCTCATCCCTAATTGGAAATTCCTTCACGAAGTGCTTGGTGTCCAATATTGCTTAAGTAGCCAACTCCACCAACTCTGATTCTGGGTATCCTAGCAGCACATGCTCATACAGATAAAGCACATCATTGCTAACATCAACTCCAGGAACTAGAGCTGCTGATGAAAGGGACTGAAGAACTATCTCTTTCTTTTCTTGCAATGCGTTCACAATCACTTCCGCTGCAAACTCTAGTCTTCTTTTAGGCCATCTGCTATCCATGTGAGTAATAACAGTAGTGAACTTCCTATAACTCACAGACTTTTCCTTCATCGGGTGCTTGATCTGGAGGGCTGCTCTGGTTGTTGTAATGAGCTAAGAATCTCCAGTGCTCTTTCATAATTGTGTTCTGTGACGCCGAAGCTTCCTTGGCAGAACCTGTACCCCCATCTACCAAACCAAGAGTGTCCGTAAGCAACGCCATGGAGAAGACGAAGGTCCATAGACCGCTTCTTTGGTAGATCCTCAACAGTGATTTTCCCTCTCATATGGTTCCCTCCTTATGTGCATAAAAATAGTATATATATATATCTATATATATATTACTATTAATTTCTTCTTCAAATCGACCTAAAAATAGAATAAATTATAAGTGTCTTAGCACCTTTTCTTTACTCGTGATTCAGGCAATCCAATCTTCCGTGTGTAAGGTGGAAGCCCCCCAAAAAGGTTTTCCATTAATGGGTGATCAAAAGCATCCGGTCGATATTAGATAGAATGCTATAAACCTTAAAAGAGAGATTTTTGAGGGACCAGGCTTTGTCGTTTAGTCCCTCTGAAAGTGAAATTGCTAAAAAGAAAAAAAAGGGATACACCAACCATCCGCTCCGAGCTGTGTACCTCCGTCTTGAGTTGCTTTGCCGAAGACTCCTCGCGTTTCTTAGTTAGAGAGTAAAGGGCGGTGTAAGTGGTTCCCCGTTTGCACCCCTCTTTCTCAGTTTGAGCTGATAGACTTCTTCTCCTATTCGCGAGAGTTTCACTTGCTTAGGCTTCCTCTTGGCTTTGCTTCATCCTCTCCATTTCTAGCCCTTGTAAGTTGAGTTGATCCAGAAAGGTATATATTTAAGGCACCTCTAGGAGGGGAAAACGGCTTCATTACCGAAAAACATTCGTTTCAACATGTCGAGGTATCATACGATCTTCAGAAAGGCGATTTCTTGGGATAGTAACCTGTTCTGTTGGCTTGGCCCCTTCCCGGAGGGAGTCTTTTTAGTAGTTGAGAAGCAACCTCTCTTCCGGAGCGTCAAGATGAGTTTTAGTTACAGGGTTATTCACAGGTTTGAGTGAGATACATTACATATGATTTAAGCAAGGAGCGAACGCAGCTGTTCGTCGGAAAGACTTCTCCTCTTCTCCTTTTGCACCGCCCATTTCGTCGTCTACTAAATAATATATATGATCCTGTAAGGGTAGGAACTCTCGCTACCTTGTACGTAAGACTTTCTCTTTATTCGCGAGAAAAGCATGCCAGAATCTCTTAGGTAATAGTTGCATGCGGGAGTATTCCGAATGGTAAACTATATATAGGCCTAGGCAGTTTAGTTTCCCTTGTATAGCTGCCCTTTCCGAAGTTAGTGAGCCTAGCTCAACCGTTGGGAGAGGCAGAAGCAGCAAGGCCTCGTCATCAAGATCTTAGTCAACGGCATCTGCCAACAAACAAGTCTTTTACGCCAAGAAGCTCTTCTTCAGTTCCGCGTAAAGAAATTGCTTGATGAGATAAGTGCAGGTATTCTACAGTTTCCATTGCATTTCCAAGGTGAAGATTCTCGTGTTCGGTTAGCAGGAAGTGAAGCTTTCTTATCCAGGAAGTTACTTTTCGCAATGCAAGTCCTTGTTATCAATTAGTCGAGTCGCTTTTAATCTGTGTTTTGAATCATCCGGTTGATATAAATGCGACAGGAGAAAAAGAATAGGGCTACGGACCTTGAGAGAGTGGGAATTGGTTTGAGCAGGGCATAATGAGAAAAATACTTACTCCGAAACAAGCGCCGCATACCTTATAGGTGCTGCGGAACTGGTTAAAGGTTCTAATCTGCAGCTCACTTTTAAAAGGAATTATTATCGCTTAGCGCTTGCTAAGGGAAGAGAGATAGATTTGCGGAAGAACTCTGCCGCCCGAGAAGCTTGAGGGTGAAAGCGGTTATCGATACACCTTATCTTTATTCTCGTAAACAAAAACCGGGAGCAGTCCATTGAAAGAAGGAATGCGCGCCTACACATAAAATCCCGGTCGGAGAAGAAAGATCCCGAGAATTATACACACTAGGGGAATCGCACGAGGATACGGGAACATGACACAAAAGGGTAGGAGGTGGGAAGCAGCCCTCGCTTCGATCATGCTAACCGGGGTAAAGGTACTCGATTATATATTGCCTTAACTAACCACTACTAACACAAAATAAATAACCCGCAGGTCTGAATCAACGGTAAATGGTGCTCTGTTGTGTCCCTAAGATGCTTTCTGGCGGATGAAATAGCCGGTTCTTCCATTCGGACCTTCGATACGAGGATTCATCAGAAAATCGTGGGTAAAGCGAAAGCGAATTACCTTCGGCCGTGGAACGATCATAGGAGCAAACCCAAGTCTAATTTCAAAAACGTATGCCAAACGAATAAGCACAAAGGAGAAATGAGAGATTGCAATTCATTAAAGGATTTTTTTTTTTTTTTTTTTTTTTTTTTTTTTTTTTTTTTTTTTTTTTTTTTTTTTTTTTTTTTTTTTTTTTTTTTTTTTTTTTTTTTTTTTTTTTTTTTTTTTTTTTTTTTTTTTTTTTTTTTTTTTTTTTTTTTTTTTTTTTTTTTTTTTTTTTTTTTTTTTTTTTTTTTTTTTTTTTTTTTTTTTTTTTTTTTTTTTTTTTTTTTTTTTTTTTTTTTTTTTTTTTTTTTTTTTTTTTTTTTTTTTTTTTTTTTTTTTTTTTTTTTTTTTTTTTTTTTTTTTTTTTTTTTTTTTTTTTTTTTTTTTTTTTTTTTTTTTTTTTTTTTTTTTTTTTTTTTTTTTTTTTTTTTTTTTTTTTTTTTTTTTTTTTTTTTTTTTTTTTTTTTTTTTTATAAGTGAGTCAAGAGAAGAGGACAACATCACTTATACTGCATCTTCTCTGCAGAAAAATCTTCAAACTATTGATAAACTGGACTATATGACTTGAACATCGGATTAAAGCTCAAACTTGGGTGGTACTCGTTTGACTACTGAGAAAAATGTATGAAAAAACACTTGATGGAAACAGACATATCAATTTCTATCTAAGTGAGCCCTGACACCAATGTCCTTTGCACTAACTAATTATCATGAATAATAAATCAGACCCTTTTACAACACATTCGCGAACGAAAACAGAGTACATTCTTGCAGGACGGATGAAGACCAAGAACAGTAAGACAATTAAATTTCTTTGCGTGCCTAGAGTTGTCTCCCGTACCTCAACCCCCAACACTCAGGCGGTAGTTTGGCACAACAAGCTTGGATAATAACCTTCACGCTCAATTCAATGTCAGTGCCCTATTACCGCACCCAACTCACATCATCTTTACCTCAAAGCCGCACTAACGCCAAACGCTAATACAAAAAGTTGAAGCAGAATGATAAATTATGGTACTGACCCGTTCTTCCAAGGCAGAATTACGCAGCGATTCAAACCCATGAAGCAATTCACCCAGCAACCCCAAACACAAAGCAAACACTCTTAGAGGTCGCATCACATACCCATTTTGCTCTACCACTCTCTATCAACCAACAAAAACGGACTCATAAGAAAACCTGTTCTCTCTCGGAATCCCTCACAAAACCACAATCTTAGCTGTCCTCACCAAACGAAAGACCCTACCCAAATCACAGCGAAGCAGATAAAGAGAAACCCGCAGGGATTGTTAGAAAATCTTGGAATGGAGGGAAAGGCCAATAGAATAAGGGATTCATCGAAATGCCTACATGGCAGAAGTAAAGGCCAAGCTAAGAAGAAAAGCGTTTTCGCGTTTGTGGCTTTTGGAAACTGCGTCATTGAAAGCAGATACACCCAAGAGTTATAGGTGAGAGAGTAGAGAGAGCGAAGAGCGAGCAGAGAGAAGCCGCCGGAGGGGAGAGTTCTCTAGGGTTTGTGCTTCTTTGGGACGGTTGTGCCGTCAAACCGAATGTCCCTGTCACAGGACAACTGCAGGGCGGCAATAATATAATATGCTAACGGTTCGCAGTTTGCTAACTTTTTATACTACCCTTACTACATCAAATCAAAATAAATTATTACCCTACTTACTAGTAACTACAGAGAGATCAAATACCTTTTTCCTCCAACATATTTCAATTTGGTTTCATTGTTAATCATTAGAAGTTGTTTCGGTCTCTGTAAATTTATCGTTTGACTATCCATGCGTAAAATGATTTTTAATAAGGAATGTGGAATTCTATTTTGTGGCGGTTGGTCAATGGTGTAGGGGTAGCTGGTGCGATTAAGAGTGCGGACCATGATAAGTGTGACCACCGTGATGATGTTGTTGAGGAACATGACGAATGGAAAGCGCGGTATGATACTTGGGTTACTTTCAGCATGTGTTTAGGTAGAAAAACTGAATGATAGTTAATTACTGCAGTTTTTAACACAATGACCCATTGGAACCATTGAATTCCGACTCAATTTTCTTATCAAAATTTTTTTTTGTTGTTTCTAATTCTTCAATTATTAACTTTGTTTTCAACTATTATTCAATCGACAGTCATGTTTTTCGATATATACGTGAGACATACAAACCTTCCTTATTGTTCACAAAAATAAATTGTTGAACCAACTCGCCACTTTAATGATTGGGTTTAGTTTCATTACAAACCCATTCTGCATGTCTAAACCACACTATACATTATGGTACAACCTGCCTACCCCCCATCCCCCCAGTTTTATTCTGTACCCATCTTAGCTAATGCCATTGAAGTAAAAACAACTCTTGTCACCATAGCACTGCCACCTCAATTATTGCGCTTAAGAAGGGTTCTTACGACAAAGAAACAAAACAAGGACACAGTTCTCCAATCTTAATTTCACAAATTTAAGAGCACACGTTATCTTGGTACAATTGGAAATATTTCATCTTTTTTTTTTACTGAAGCTTATCTTTGCTTTATTCTTCGACTGGGACCTAACTAAGCCTCATGATTCCTATCCCATGTCAATAAAAAAAATAGATTGGTTCCGGTGGGGTCTCTGGTCGAGGTGGCTCTAGGGGGGTTCAAAGTGTGCAGCCTTGATGAGCCTGCTTTGCTTCTTGGATAATTGTGTGAGAGCACATGGCTGCTCGTATACACATGGAATATGATTTGTTTACGTGAGATGGATTTTTGTGCGTATTTTCTAGAAGCGTATTTTCTTCGGTCGCTTTCAGCATTGAGCAGAGAGATACAATACTTGCAGGGGTAAAAAGGGCCGGACCGTGAAAAGGGACAGAGGGGCAAAAGAAAGGAAAAAGGTCCGTGACGAAGCGCGACGTATCGTTGTGGTGTTCGCATAAGAGGAAAAAAGTAAGTTTTGACAGCTGGAAGAAGAACTGGGTTTACGCGGCTTCAAGTCAAAGTCAAGAACCGGCAGCGGCTGGGCAGTGACGGGCGAGAGAAGGGCGGGAACTGTTGGTATGTAGTGGAAGACGTAGAGTTTGGGAACGTGATTCGGTGATTCCGTGTTTCTAGTCAGTGAAAACTGTGTTGGTGTGCCGTTTGGGTGGGGGGGACGGGGTTGCATGGCAGATGGGGTGCAAGGAAAGAGGAAGAGGCTCCAATCGGCGGGACTAGCTAGAAAGAAAAAAGGAAAGTCCACGAGAATAGTCCGTTGGATGACGTAGGCGTTTTCCACACGGACTTGAGCCAACGTTAAAAAGCACTAGTGAGTTATTTCTACAGGCCTGCTTCAATTCAAATGTGATTAACATATAAAATTGACTAACTTAGCAATAGCTGGTTTTGATGGTTATTCAAAGTTCCAAATTCAGAGCGATTGGGGGTATTACAAATATGAATTTAGCGTGTGCAGATGGTCCAAGTGTACCTCAAGGGGCAGGATTATAAAAACTATTGATATAATATGACGGGTGACCAAGCATCAAATTGGCCTCTTATGGTTGGCAATCACAGTGAAAATTAAAACCAACTCTCCCTCTCCCTCCTCAGGGCACTCGAGTTTAATTCACGGCAAGACAACTCTTGAGCACCAATTATCTCTTCCCCGTTCTTTCCTTAGCATGACCTCAAACATAAAAATAAATAAAACAAAAACCGAAGCATCTAAGTTCCCATGAACATTGTATTGGGCAAATGGCTGAGTACTAGACTGGCATATACAGATTGTTTGCCTTCGTCCAACAGAAAGACTTAAAATAAAACACAACTGAGCAATAGTTTCAGAGAGAGATAGAGACTTCAGCCAATAGTTTCATTGAACTAGCAATGGTTTTTCTCACTTGCCATAAAATACTTCACCATTATAAATCAGAAAATTAAATATTGATAAAAGAAAACTTAAGGAGAACATACACGTGAAGAGAGAGATAGAGAGTAGAGGAGAAGAGAGAGAGATATGGCACTTTGGAACAAGAGCGGCTTCCCAGACATCCTCCCTGACTTGCAAAGGTCATCTTGTAGAGAATCTTCTCAAGACTCCGCAAAAGCGATGATGAGAACATATCAAAGGCAGAACCGCCATTCTCAATTTCTGTCTCATCTTCGTTCGAATCTAGGAGGGCAGAGACGAATCGGAAGCGAGAGGGCCAATTGACCTTTTTTGCAAAGTCTGTGGTGACTTGGCTGGGTTGGGGAGAGAGAGAGAAGATTTAAAATTATTTGTCGAGTAATGGTCCTACGTGAAGTTCCGTCATCAAAAAAGTGGTCCCACTTTTGACACGTCAGCATTTAACAGACTCACTAATAGTTTGGCTACGCATTGTGCAAATTGTAGGTTTTCGTAAATGTTTTTTTTTTTTGTGGGGGGTATCGACTGGTGTGGGGAGAAAGAAGGTCGGAAGCGGGGTGTGCCCACAAGAAGAATCGGATCGGATCGGATCGGGAATATATAAACTACACGTTTTTACACCTACCCCTTAGGGACTAGTAAATAAAGGATCAAATACCTTTTTCCCCTTCTCACACTTTCATTTGGTTTCAATTGTGTTATCATAAGGATTTGTTTATTATGTAAATTTATTGTTTGACTATCTCTGAATGCGGGAGAGTGCAGTGTGTTACGTTCATCAGAGTGTGAGATGGTTGATGATTCGGTATTTCTTGTGTGGGGGCAACGTTTGTGGAGGTGGTCACGGTGAGAGTGTGACTGGTAAAGATGTGTATGGAAGGTTGAAGCTAGTAATGATGGTTGTGAGGAAACAAGTGGTAGCGTAGGGTGGTCGGCTTGTGTTTTTTAACAAATATGAATGTAAATAATCATTACTGATGTTTAATATCAATGACCGTTGAAACCATTCGCATTTGACATCATTTCTCTGTCACCTGTATACTCATTTTGTTCACTATATTCCATATAACATATGATGGTTCGTCGCTATATCGTAAGAGACATAAAATCTTCGTTTAAACAAAAATAAATTGGTCGAATCAACCTATCAGATTGGTTGTAGTGAATCACAAACCAATTTGATGTATAACCAAACTATAATTGGATTGTACACCTGCCCTACCCATTTTTATTCTTTTACCCCATCTTACTAATCCACGTGAACTAAAACCTAAAACTCTTTTTGTCACCATCACAAAAGCAATTCCACCTCAATTTATTCCTTTAAAGGTTCTTCCAGCAAACAAAACAAAGCACAAATTAAAACGAAGATTGAATTTTCCCACAATTTACAATATTACCGTGATCTTGATACAATTGGAATGGTTAATTTAATGTAATGTACTCTAAAGAACTACTCACCACAGCCCCCGCCCTCTTTTTTTTTTTGACTGAAGCTATCTTGTCTTCGACCTGCCGCCTGAAGCTCAGCCTATTGATTCCCATCCTGCAATACAAATTAGATGGGTTCCCGATGAATTTAAAATGGGAAGACATTGGATACCTAGTTGCCTTGTTTGTGTAGATTAAGTGAGTCCAAAGTCACCATTGCTCTTATACACAGTTGGCTATGATATTTTTATTGTTTGCCATATATTTCTATAAAGCATATTTTTTCTTTCAAATTATAGTTAGACATAAGATAAAAAATAATGTCATTAAAGAGCAAGAAAATTACACCCAGTTTAAAAATAAGCGCTAAAAAATGTTCCTTTATACTTAACTTTGTTTGAATAATTCTTTTTTGACGCTGCGAATTAAAGAACCGGGTTTTTACCTGCGCTTCAAAATTCAAATCAATAACATCCATCTTCCCCCCCCCTACCATTGACTGGTGGATTTGAGATGCTGTAAAGACTGCTGTATAGCTTATTAATATTTTGGGAAACCTGTATTCGTGCTTACGTGTTTCATGTCACAACAACCCCTTTTTTCCTTTGTTTTTTGACTGTTTGCATGCATATTTTGGTAATTAATAATTATGATGATGCAAAATTATTTACACGCCGCTGCTTCCAAAGTTCAATTGTATTAAACATCAAGAATACGTAAGGGCCCATAGCATAGATGGTTGATGTTTTCAAAGTTCCGAATGTTCAATTGTCGTAAAAATAGAAATTTACGGTTTGCAGAGTTGTCAAAGTGTACCCGCATTATAGAGGACATAGAACGGTTGATATATATCACTGGTGAACCAAGAATCAAATTGCATATGCCTGTGGCATCACACTAAAAAAATAATCAAACTCTCCCTCCCCTCCTTGAGTGCACTCGAGTTCATTTACTAAAAGACAATCTTGAGGCAACTAAATATAATATTTCCACCCATCCGGACCTAGGCGCATGCGCCCCAAAAAAAAAAAACTACGCTTCTCTAGTTGACATAACTAGTTGAATTGGCCGAAAATGTTAAAAAACACTCTAGAGCCACGAAATAAAACCGCAAGTTGACAACAAAAGACTGGCCACTAATTAATCCTACATAATCTAACATCTGATAACTGAGAATTAGATGATCATAATGATTGTATACAATAACTAATCTTGTGTTATCAATGATTGAATACTCGTTGGAGCTTATTAATTATCTAAAATACTTGTCCCAAATTTTTTATTTAGGTCATGGAATAACAGCCGATAATGTATATGTAGACATAATTGCTTGCAAGATGTTACTCTATTATGTCAGTTTATAAATTAGTAAACTTAAGCAACTTGCTTTATTTTATTTTTTTCTATTAAAAAAAGAAAGAAGGGAAACTCAAGCAACTTGATTAATAAAGGCATATACAAGAACGGCACTTTTCATGCATATCATCATGGAAAAGTTTATACAATGGGTAGCTCATTTGATTGGCTTAGTTGAAGTTGTATATAAGAAAAATAATCCAGGAGGAATCCAAGTACACCAGTGGGTGTTTAATTATTTTAAATTTCGTAATCGGTTTAGAAAATTAGTAGCTTATTATTCTTGTCAAAATCACATTGAGAAAGAATGATTTTCTTAATTAGGTTGACTTTAAGAGGCAAATTGTACTATGCAAAGCATATACGTCTTTTTGATGTAGAACGAAATTCTGAAGTTTTCGATGTCTGATTGGGGCCTATAATATCTTTCCGAAAAGAAGACAACGAGACGAACACTACTTGTCGCTTGGCCACGACATAAGGGCAATTTGGGCATTTTAATATCTTTTAATTTGTTCTAAAAAAGTTTTATGGGTATTTTCATAATTTTCCTTTTGGGTTCTTTCTTAAACCCTAGTTTGGTAGAACTATTTAAACAATCTTTCATCTTATTATTCCTATTAATTAACAAAAAACGAGAGTTTCTCTCAATTATTGGTTGATGGATTTCATAATTTTAAAGGGTGATCGCTTGAGTGTCACTTTTTCTTTCTTTTTTACTAACTCCGTGTAAGGTCTCATATCTTAAACATTATATAGTGTATGATCATTGAGATGGATCCTATACATTCTCAACCGCCATCCATATTTTGAATTAATTAACGCTGAAAATAGAATAAGTTCTCAAATTAAGTCAATAATTTAGGTTAGGTGTGAACATACATATAGGTTTGAGTTTTCAGTTCAGATCAAGTGTGTGGTCCGGTCTCTAGTCTTTAATTAGTAGTTTTCATGGAAGGAACTCCCAAAGGTTGACCCCGGCTGGTGTTCAATATATACACTCCAAGCATTCATTTATAGATAATTTCTTTAAAAAAACTCAGCAAAGTCGGACAATATTCAACCATTTGATTAAATGATAGTCATTTTAGACTTTTTTTAAAAAAGAAAAAGAAAAAAAAGCATCAAGTTCATCTATTTATGTAATCACAATTATATATCTTAATATCTTACGAATTGCCTAATGTTTGTTTTTTCAAAAATGGTCTATGAATGAAGTCTTAAAAATTCAACAGTTTGGATCATTGAAATACAATGTGAAGTGGATCCCACAAGATATCACATAAATTATATATAAAAAAACCACATATATACGTATGTATGTAATATAATAAGCCAATATGATGATAATGCTTATCAACAAATATATTCCCTGCTGATTATATTCCACAATTTACACAATTTTTTAATGAGATTTTCTATTTAAACCCCGCACTTCTCTTTGTTCACCCCAATATTTAAACCATTAAGCTGTAAGTTTTATTATTGTGTAAAAAGACAAAAAAGGTCATCCAACTTAATAATTAACCATATTACATTTATACACACACCCCACCACTTTTCATATTAAGTTTTAGAAACCTCCTTCCAACTTCCTATTTACAAACTCACTCTCTCTCTCTCTCTCTCTCTCTCTCTCTCTCTCTCTCAAGTTCTCAACTCAACAATATCCAAGTGTTAAAATTCCATTTACACTTCTTGGAGAGAAGTAAAGATGTTCTCTTTATCTAGAAAGTATTAAATTTCAGATTTGGGGTTTCATTTGTTTGTGTTTATTTTTTGGCTGGGAACAAAGAAAATTGTGGAGTTTAAATAGAAAATCTATTTTAGTTATTATTTTTTTCATTTTTGGGTGTATTTAAGGGTAGTTTGGGAAGATAGTAGGGTTTTCTTAGAAATTGAGAAAATTTAAATTAAAAGTTGGGTGAACTTAGAACATGGGGTGAACTAAGAGAAGTGTGGGGTTTAAATAAGGTGTCATAATCTCTATTTTATAGTTTACCAATTTTTCCCAAGTTCACCTTACATGGCCACAATACATATATATATATATATATATATATATATATCAATCCTTTATATAACATACTGAGTTTCATTCTCTACTTACCAATTCATCATCAAAACTTTATCCTTTTCAAGGTTAATATGTTGATGGAGCTGCGAGGAAACAGAGTCCAAAAGAAGACACAGCTAGCTACTTGCGCAAGTTGGTTGAGTCACGTGTGAAGGAGGAGGCAGATGAATAGTCAAGTCAACCGATCTACGTACCTTTGCTGTCGATAGATAGAGTACCTGCTCTGGTCATTCAACAAGTCAATGTCCAATCAGAAAAAAGAAGCAGCCTCTCCCACTTGCTGTAGACTTTAGAGAAGAGAAAAAACATAGGGGAGGGGAGCACGCAGAGAGGATCAATTGGTCTTTATTTATGTAAACGTGAATTTATTAGAAGGAGAGTGGACGAGAATAATAATTTTCTATACTCGTATAATTTGAAGTATTTGACTTCAGTGTGAATTCTTCGAGGTCTACTCCCTCTCCCACCGCCCATCACCCACCACCCACCACCACACACCCTCTTCCTCTTTCCATAAAAAGCTGGTTGCTGTATGTAAGCACCAATTCTCCTCACAACACAAACCCATTCTCATTTTGGGCACTGGTTTCCTCTTCAAATGTGAAAAGGTTTCCCTTACAAAATTAATTGAGTGAATATGTTCTTCCTCCCACGACTTTTTCTTCATTCTCTCTTGGTGGTTTGCTTTGCAAATTTTGCTTTTGGAGTTACTCGATTGCCACGAGATGAAGGTATACGTATATATGATGCTTGGATTCATGACTTTGTATTTCTTGTTTATTTAGACATTAATGGTACTAATTGTATGAATTTGTAGATATTGAGTATTGAGCATATGGTGTTAAATTATTGTTGCACTTTGTTTTTTATATATATATGTAGTACAAACTTTAGCTGACATAGCAAAGACACTGGGGAAGACGAACTGGGATTTCAGTGGAGATCCAGATCCTTGCGACAATCAAAAACCATGGACTGATACCAATCCGGTTGAAGGATTTGAGTATGGCGTCACCTGTAATTGTTCCTTTGCCAATTCCACTGTCTGCCATATTACCAGCATGTAAACTTCTCTCTCTCTCCTCTCTCTCTCTCTCCTCTCTCTCCTCTCTCTCTCTCTCTTTGTCGTAAAGAAGTACTACTGATAGTTACTTACTCTTGTCCATAAATCACAAAATTTAAAGTCCTTCAAATTTTGTATTTTATACATGGAATCCAATTGTTCTTGGGGTGCACTACAATGGTGGCTCGCGACCGGCGCTGGTCTCGTCGCGAGGAGGGAAGGGAGAGAGCCGCGAAATGAGGAGGGAAGGTGCAAACAGGAGAAATCGGAGGGGCGCCGCCAAAGCGAACCGGACAAAAGAAGGATCCGCCACACGGGAGGGCCACCGAATGCCACCTCGGGGACCTCACGAAACTCCGGGAAAGGAGAGTAAGTACGAGGAGGGTTAGGAGAGGGGAGGACAGAGAAGCGGAAGTGAAGGGTGAGGGGTCTGAAGGAGGAGCAATGCGGGCAGGGAGAGCTCGCAGAAACGGGGGGGGATGGGGAGAAGGCCTAAGGACAGCCGAGGGGAGTACGACTACTAGCTAAAGCCTACAGCCGGTCGAAAAACGCATCATGGGGGCGGGCGAAGGAAGGGGGAGGAGAGGCGCGGAGGCGAATAGGGCGGAGGGACTGGAGTGGTGAAGGGGAAAGAAGAAGTTGAGGAAGGATAAGATACACATAAAACCAAAAAGCACACAAGTATGACATCAAAGGACATGCTCAAGCCCGCGAGCGACGGACCCGGAAAGCAGTGCATAGCTGCGGTCGATTGGGCCCAGGAGCGCAGGCTGTGATGGAGACAGGTGGGGTTCTGGGGGGGCTCAATTAGCGAGCAGTTTCACATGGGCCCCTCAAGGGCGAACGGAAAAGGCATCCTGCCACCTCCCAACTTGGGCCGTTGCCACGTCCTCGGCCCGGTTCCAGAGATGGGGGGCCAGGCAAGGCAACCAACGGATTGGGCATGTGGGGGCCCCAAAACAGGAGTTTTTAAGACGGCTCAGCTGGCTTTGGTCCTGGGTTCTGGGTTCCTGACTGAATGGCCTTGAAGGGTTGGCCCTTCAAATGTAATTCGATGTTGATGAAGTTCAAGAAATGCAGAAAAATGGCTGGCAGACACACGGGGAGGAAGTGATGCTCAGTCTCGATGAGGTGGGTAGTTACTAGTAGTATTACTGCTTATGCAGCTTGCCTTGGTAACTGTTTGGGTGGAAAGAGCTGCCTGGGGTAACGGGGGGTGGGAAATGCACATTACTGGTTGGGGAGCGGGGAGGGGGGAAAAGGGGCAAGGAAGGATGGTCGCGCAACTCAAAACCAAGGGTGAAGCCTTGAAACCCAAGGCACGGTGTAAGCCGATGGGTGCAGAAGTTAAGTAATGGTCGCTAATAAGGGGGTTGAACCTGGGGGGGTGGGGTCGCCGTTGGGATGGGCAGAAGCCGTGCTTGTGAGGGCAACACAGAGGGAGGAAGCACCGCAGTAAATTGCAATTAGAGGGGAAACCTGGGTGGGGGAAGGATGCACAGAGTGCTGGAAAGCGCAGGATTGGCCGGAACCGCCCAAAGAGATGGCCAGCTCACGGAAACTCAAAGAAGGAGCACGGGGTGACCTGACATGATGGCTGTGGCAAGGAGAAAATGGACGCATGCTTGCGCCGGCAGCGGGACCTACCAAACCCCAACTACCGAGGGGGGGGTACCAGCCCGCCCGAAGGGGTGGTGCGGCCCGTCCACGGCAACAGGGACGGGCGGGGGGGGTGCACTCGGCAGACAGTGGGGTGGGGGGGGGTGTGGGGGTGGCGGGATGGGCTTGGTCGGGGGCGTATTGGACGCCAGATAAGGTGAGGGAGGCCAGGGGGGAGAAAGGGGGCAGAAGGGGCAGGGCCGGGCCAACCGGGGGGACCGGGGCCGAGCCCCAAAGAGAGGAGAAACAGCACACCCGACAGTTGGGGTGGGGAGGGGCGCGTGGGTGGCGCGTGGCCCCCCTGGAGGTGGGGGAGAGCCTTAATGATGACTTGTTGAAACACAAGGAATGGGAGGGGGCGGGGGTGAGACAGCAGGAGGAAGACTGCGCTGAGGTGCGCCAGGGGCACGTGGGGGACAGGTGCCCGCATAAAAAGAAGGAAGAGTAGTCCGAGGCCTAAGGGGATCGGGCCAAAAGGACGAGATTGGGGGTGAGGAGAGGAAGCGCGGGGCTGGAGACAGAAGCGGGAGATGGGCAGCAACAAGCAGCGGGGGGGGACGGGGCGGGAGCGTGAGAGAAGGGGAGGGCTCCGGCAGGGGAGGCGCGCGTACCGCACGAATGGGACGGGGGGAGAGGCCAGAGAAGGGGAAAGCGGACCACACTAAAAAACGGGGGAAGCGGCGGGGGGCGGGGGGCGTAAAGGATGCCGAAGGCACCCACATACACGCGTAGACTAGTAAGGGGCCGGGGGGGCCGTGGGGCCAAAGCATGAGCAGGCCGGGTGGGGACATCACGTGGCGGGGGCACAGACCGGGGGAGGGAAGAAAGACCGGGACACGCGGCAAACGGAGGGGGTTTTGGGTGGGGGGGGGGGAGCGGGGCTGCGCCGGGAGCGAAGGGAGCACTAAGTCAAAGGGGAGACTGGGGAACACAGACGGGGATTCAGCTAGGGTGTGAACGGCCAAGTCCGTCGGCCCGTCCGCATGTGCCAAATTTACTGAACGTGTGAGGAAGGGATGGGAGTTGGATCTAGGGAGAAAGACCAACAGAGTCAAGTTGCGGAGGGGCAGGGGCTCAAGTGGAAACATGCCGGGAGCCGACTGACGGAGTGGGCCTAACACCCTGGCCTCCCACGGGGGAGAATAGGAAAAGCAGGAAGGGACCCGGGGGGGGAGGGACGCGGGCAGGCACCAAGGGCTGGCGGACGAAGAAGCGGGGGGCAAACGCACAAGGTGTAGGGGCGTGGTACCAGGAGGCTGAGAGGGCAATAGTGCGCGGACAGCTACCGCCAGACGGGGGGACAGAAAGGGGGAAAACGGGGGGAGGACAAAAGGGGCATGGGGGCCAGGGGGGAGGGACTGGCGGCAGACAAAGGAGCGGCCGGGCGAGAGGCGAGTCGAGAACGCAAAGAGAGGGAAGGACGGGGAAGGGGGGAGGGGGCCACATGGGGCTGGAGGGACCAAGAAACAGGCCCCAGGTGTAAGGAAGCACAGACGCACACAACGAGACACAGGCAAGCGGCAGAGGGGTACCCGTACCGGTGATTCCTGAAAGGGGGGAGGATGTGGGGGAAGGGAAGACGTCGTGCGCGGCCGGAAGGGGACAGAAGCTGAAAGCAGAGGGGGATGGGGGGGGGGGCAAAGACCGCAGCTGGAACAAGCGAACCGGGGAACGGCCAAGCAGCAGGTGGGGGGCGGCACAAAAGGGGATGGGAGGGAACAAGGGAAGAAACAAAGCGGGCGGGCGGCAGAACTCAAGCAACAGGCGGCAAGGGTGGGGGCACACCCCAGCCCGACAAGCGGGACTGGAAAGCAGGCTGACGAGCGACCGAAGGACTCCAAGTGGAAGACGGGCTGAAGGGAGGGGAGGCGGGGAAGACGCAAGCAACAACGGAAAGAGAAGAGAGTGGAGCGGGTAAGAGGCAGGGCCAGGTCGCTACCCCGTCGAGGAGGGGCGAAATGGATGGCCCGGGGGCCGGGTAGCAGATGGGGGAAGTCGGACCTAAACGGCGACGGGGACCCGGGCCGACTGACAAGAAACGGGGAACGGCGCGCCAAGGCTAAGGGGAGGGTAGTAGGAAGGAAATGGAGGATGGCTAAGACGGGGATAAAAACCCCGACATGTGTTTAAACATGACTGGGCATAGTGAGCGTCACGACAAGTATACGCAGGAAAAGGCAGGAGGGGACAGCGGGAGGCCTCAGGAGCACGATGGGAAAAAGGGGGGGGGAGTAGCATGGCGAGAGAGGGCGAGTCCGGGCAGGGAAGATTGGGAAGTGGGGGGAAACATCCAAAAGGTCCGAGGTGAGGACTCCGAAGCTTGGGCAGGAGGGCCGCAGAAGCGCCAAAACAGGTGTGCAGAGAAGGTGGAACCACCCCGCGAGAGGGGGGGGACGGAAAGGTCGAGGCACTGAGAAAACAAACAGGTGCCCAAAATGAGTGGGGGGGGGGAGAGAAGGGCAAGACGGGCGGGGGAAACCAGAGGAGAGGCATGCGGACAGAGCAACAAGGGGTAGGAAGAGCAGAAAGGGGGGAGGAGAGGGCCGGAAGCCACAACAGAGAAGGGGGCCAAGGGGAAGGAACAGCCGGAAAGGAAATGATGGCGAGGGCCCTTGTCTGGGGGGGGGACCGGTATCAGCGTGGGAATACGATAGGTTATGAGAGGCGGAGCGTGACAAAAGCAAGAGGGGGGGAAATGGGAAAGGAACTGGGCGGAACGTGACAGGGGGGAAGAGCTGAGGCACCTATGACGCGGAAGAGGACAGGAGCGAAGAGGGGTCAGCGCAGGCAGGGTGGGAGGGTTGGTTGAATAGGGGGAGGGGCAGAATTAACTGGCGAAAAACCGTAGAGAACGAGATGCAACATTTCATAGGCCAACCAATGGGAACCGACCGGCGTGGCCCGCAAGGTAGGGTCAGGGCGCAGACGGCATGTGAAGGAAGGGTACAGAACAGCCGGGTGGGGCAGGGAGCGGGCAAGAATATGCCCCAGAGGGACCCAGGGGTCAAGCACAAGGCTGGCGTGGAAAAAGGGGGGGCGCAGGACGGGAGTGGACGGGGGGGGGGGGCGGGGAGAAGCAAAGGACGTGGCAAGGGGGGAAGGGCGACAGGAACGGGGTGCCAGCGCGGTCAAAGGGAGAGTGCGGAAGGACAAAGTAATCCTCGGAGAAAGGCAGGCGGAGTAAAGGGACCGGGCAGGCCAACGGGGAGGGCGGATGGGATGGGACACCGGATGGGCAGTGAGGAGGGGAGCGGGCGGGAACCGCGGCTGGGGGAGCCTGCAGGAGCCTACCAGAAACACGGTGCATGGTGCAGACGGCAAAAGGGCCACAAGTAGGGGGGCCCCAGAGCGGGCAAAGAGAGAGTGGATGGATCGGGGAAGTGGGGGGGGGGGGGACGGGGACGGGGGAGGATCCAACAAGGAAAGGACCAGGCGGAAAAAGACCCTGAGACACGGCGCAACCCAGCATAACCGGCAGGGGACAGTCCAGGGCAGCGGACACCTGAAGCTGCAAGCCAAAGGGAGATAGAAAGACAGGGGCCGGGGGGGGGGCGGCGGGGGTGAGGCTGGGGGGGTGGGCCCCGCCCAAGGGCCACGAAGCGGGGGCGGGCGGGGGAGGCGGGGGACGCGCGCCAGAGAAATGCGGGGGGAAAAGGAAGGAACGGTGGGGGGGGTGAAAAAAAGACAACCGGGCAAGAGGACACAGGAGGCAGGGGAGGGGGACCGGCAGGGGGCGCCAGAGGCGCACCAACTTGGGCGGAACACACGGGTTACGGGACGGAGGGGACCGTCCTCAAGACACCTTTACCAAAATAAGAATCGCTACCTGGCCAACCCAAAACTGTAATGAATGCACCCTTTCTCCCATCTCTTAAACTTATTAGGGGTGTCTGGAAATGGAAACTACACGGAACCTCCGGTGCAGAAGACGGTTTACAAATGGCAAAACCTATAAAAGCCTGGAGGAGCTAATTTGATGTTACATTCAGGTAAAGGCCCATACCACTGTTTAGCTCCTGGTGTAATTCAAATGTTTATGAATTTCTAGTAATAAACAGGTAAAATAGGTTGTCAAGGCTGAAAAAATAAACCACATTACGATCATGAAATGTTATGTAACAAAACTAGGATATTGCAGGGGAGACTAGTGCAGAAGGATTTCAATATTGTCGATAAAGCTGGTGGGATTGGTACTGCAGTCATAATGAAACTATACTGCTGCTGTAACTAGTGGTACCTTGGAGATCCGTTTTATTGGGCTGGGGAAAGGGACGACCGGTATCCCTCTTAGAGGAGTTTATGGTCCTCTTATATCAGCTATTTCTGTAGATCCTGGTAAGTTTACACTGTTCTGAGCTTCTTCTAATTGCAATTTGTAGACCATTGGGAGCTTCTCATATGTAAATATCATGTTAGGCATTAATATTACAACACAATTAAGAGATCCGGCTTTAGGTAGCTGTTTGGATAATGCAATCTCTTATCTATTACATTCACATTTACTCTAATAAAGCTATTCTTCTTCCGGCAGACTTTGTACCCCCACCAGAACCTGTAATATCACCTTCATCTGGTGGAAGTGGCATATCTGTAGGTGCAGTAGTTGGAATTGTGGCTGGAGGAGTCTTCATTATATTACTGATTTTTGGTATTCTTTGGAGGAGAGGCCTCCTAGGACAACAAAATACTTTGGAGGATGGTACGTGCAGTTTACGCTGTTATTTTGTATGTACTTTTCGTGTATATTTAGGCACTCTGTAAGTTGATATTTATTTAGATATTGAACTTTCTAACGCCTTGATGCTGCTAGAATATATTATACTGTTGAAACCTTTGATGCGAAGTCTGCCTACCTATAGATCCAGTTACTCATTAAATTCTAGGCCTTGAATCAGTCGCATGATATTAAGAAATAAAAATGCTACCATTATGAAATTCGTGTAGACAATTTCTTATATGAGTTTGCTTCTTACCCAGATTTAAAGGGCGTGGACCTGCAAACTGGTAAATTTAGCTTCAGGCAACTCAAAGATGCCACAAACAACTTTGACAAATACAATAAGATTGGCGAAGGTGGTTTTGGTCCTGTTTACAAGGTATTCTGTGGAACCAATATTTCTTATTTATTGCATTTGGGCTTACTTGATTAATTGTAAGCATTGTTACTAAAGTTGCTCTGCTTTTTAGAGAAGGGATTTTCACCTTGTTTCTCAAATGCAGGGCCTTCTATCAGATGGCACCGTAATTGCTGTCAAGCAGCTTTCTTCCAAATCAAAGCAAGGGAATCGTGAATTTGTGAATGAGATAGGCATGATTTCTGCTCTGCAACACCCTCATCTTGTCAAGCTTCACGGATGCTGTATTGAAGGAAATCAACTATTGCTTGTCTATGAGTACATGGAAAATAATAGCCTTGCTCGTGCTCTGTTTGGTAAATATTACTCTTGTATGCCTAAACTTCATTTGGTTCATGCAGATGGGTATAAAAGATCTTATACATAAAAAAATATGTCCCTTATAACTAACTTTGAGTAATTTGACAAATTGAAGGGCCAGAAGAAAGTCAGTTGAAGTTGGATTGGCCAACAAGGCACAAGATCTGTGTTGGTATAGCTAGAGGTTTGGCTTACCTCCACGAGGAATCAAGATTGAAGGTCGTTCATAGAGACATCAAGGCTACTAATGTGCTGCTTGATAAAAATCTTACCCCAAAGATATCTGACTTTGGATTGGCCAAGCTTGATGAAGAGGATAATACACACATTAGCACCCGTATTGCTGGAACTTAGTGAGTCCCCGTGATATATATTTTTTTTTCTTCTTATACTTTTATTTTGATTTCTTCCACCCCGATGATGGGTCCATAGAAATAGGAAACAGATGGAGGTTTCTCAACTTTTTATAAGTTTCAAACTTAACTGGATCTGTACTGTTAAAGAAACTTTGTAGTATTTTTAGTATTTCGCTAAGCTAAATATGGGGAAATGATGAGCAATTTTTTGCAGTGGATATATGGCGCCTGAATATGCAATGCGGGGTTATCTGACTGACAAAGCAGATGTTTATAGCTTTGGAATTCTTGTATTGGAAATTGCTAGTGGGAGGAACAACACCAGTTACAGGTCAAAGGAAGAAAGCTTTTATCTTCTTGATTGGGTAAGATTATTCTACTGCTTCCTCATTTAAAGTTAAATTTAGTCTGATACTGTTTATCTCTGTTCTGTGTCTCTGGCTGAGGGGAAGTGATTGATACTGCAATAGTTTTAATGATTATCCAAAATCAAGTCTGGCTTCATTTGGCATTGATTCTCTTTTATTGAATGCCTGAGCACATTATCTTTCTCTCACAATATTAACCCTGAATGACTACTAGTATCACTGTATTTACCTTATATACGTAAGATCAGTGAAATTATTTGTAAAGATAGACAAATTATGTTGCTTTTTTGTCCTTCGCTGTTTCTAGGCACATCTACTAAAAGAGCAAGGGAATTTAATGGACCTAGTGGATCCAAGGTTGAGCTCAGACTTCAGCAAAGAAGAGGTGATGCTTACAATCAATGTGGCTCTCCTCTGCTGCAATGTCACTTCAACAGTTAGGCCTACCATGTCTTCAGTTGTGAGCATGCTTGAAGGCAGGGCTGCTGTTCAGGAATTGGTCTCAGATCCAAATGCCTCAACTAATGAGATGGAAGAAATGAGGAAACATTTTGAACCCAGTTTCGGAAGGAAAACCGGTGAGAGCCAGACACAAACTGGGTCAACTGAAGGGCCTTGGACTGGTTCATCTACATCTGCTCATGATCTCTATCCAGTCAATCCTGATTCAACTTACTGGGACAACAGAAGTGAGAGAAACTGAGCAAACTGTCTTGACTCTCAAACATTTATGTTCATATATCATCTTTACTCCCTCTCCATATACACACGCATATATATTTTTGTTTGGCAAGATAGCTGAAAGAATAATATAGATGTTTCTACAGCATGGTAAATTGGTAAATGTAAATTATGAATCCCCTGGATCAACTTTGCTACAGCACAGAAGCTGGTATATTATATCTTTTGAGAATGCATTACGATGACATAATTTGCAATACAGGGCAGAGGTTTAGAGTCCGGAAAACTGAATAAATTACTTGGAAGCTAAGCTTTGTTACTGTTTCTATTTGAAAGAGAATGGTGGAAATCAGCATTCTGCTACAAAACAATGTGGTTTTGAACTTGTCGTGCAATATCAATATGAGTGTTGGAAGGCATGAACTAGCGGATTCGGCTTAGACAGATACAGGAGATAATTAAGTCATCTTCCAATGCTCCAATCCAACGACCCCAAGTGGACGGTGGCCCTTTTTTCTGTAACTTCAGAAATCTAAATTCCGGGAGAAAATGCGCATTCAACAACTCAAAGCATATTTTAAAGATCAAAGTAGATTTTAAAAACCAATTGTCAAAATCTCACAATGCAAAATGCAGACCTCTCATAAGAAGAAAATGCAGAGGAAGAAGCTGTCAAACTTTCTCTCAATTTTGTAGCCACCCCTTTTAACCAAAAAGAAGTTTGCCCTAAATTTCCCCAGCTGGCAGCCAAACATTGGCCTCACAATGTGACAAAGAACATTAGAATAGAAAGTTTACAGCTGACAAAGGCTGGCCTCACGTGAGAATAAAATGTATGATTTTTACCTTCAAGGATCTTGATTCTATTTAAGCCATGACAAAGTTGATCTCGATTTCTGTAATTATTTTGACTGCATACTTAAACTATCCTAAATTCCTTGAGCTTGATTGATTACATACGAGATTACAAGTTTGTCAACGAAAACTAAAAACATTAGAAGAACGAAAACTAACAATCCGAACGTAGCAATAGAGGAAATAAAACATAGCTCCCAAAATACATCACAAAAACTGTAAAACAATTGTATGATCGGTGCTACTTCCACAATTACATAGTAGATGAATAGACTGTACTTAATGATTTCTGATAGATACAAGCAACAAGTAGTCTCCCGGCACATTAAAATCGCCATATGCTTTGTAAGTGCCTGCATCACCAACCAGGAAAATTCATTCATTTTATATAAAACTTCTGATAAGTTCTTAGACGAAGAAACAAAGAAAGGACAAGTGTTATTATGATACCTAATTGAATAAACAATTGTTTTCTACCTTTTATTTTTCCAAACATTGTGAAGGTTGAAAAATTGAAATTTTTTAATGTCTTGTTTAGTCTATATGTTAGCCCCCAACACATAAATTCATACCTCCACCACTGCTGGCACATTAAAATCTCACTATGTGCCTTGTAAGTGCCTGCATCACCAACCAGGAAAATTCATTCATTTTATATAAAACTTTTGATAACTTCTTAGACGAGGAAACAAACAAAAGACAAGTCATCCAATATTGAAATTGATAGAATAGAATTGGGATATTAATTTAATGTCGCTCTAAAGACTCAGTCAGCACTCAGCAGCAGCCTTTCATCTTTTTTGGACTTGAAGCTTATTTTCCTATCCTTGTCATTATTTTGAAAGTAATTTTGGTTTTATAGATGAATTTAAAATGGGAAACATTAATTGTTTGGTCGATTTCACATGGCTGGCTCTTTTTTCTTTGAAAGATATGAATTAAATTAAGAACATACAGCTTCAATGCATTGACTGGTTGATTGGGAAGTTGGAGTGTCCATCCAAAAGATGTAAATAAGGGACACCTGTCTACTTTTACGTATATATTATTATATTCGGGTGATTACGTGTTTTAGTCATAGTCTGAAATATCAATAATATCGATGAAATATCGAGGATATTTCGGTTTTTTCAAATCACGGATATTTCGAAACATATCCATGTACATATCGTATAAATATCGACAATATCGACGATAATATTGGAAAATATCGATGTCGATAATTTCGCTCACACTTCAGCAATATTTTGTCAAAATATCGGTGTAATATCACTAAAATATCGAAAATATCGATGTAAAGGAAAAAGAAGAAAAAAAAAGGGGAAAAAAGGGAGGAAAAAAAAACACAAAGGGGATTTGAACCCCTCCCATTTTACTCCTCCAACACCTTAACCACCATATATCACTTATATTTTAGTGATAATATGCTAAAATATTTATATTTATATGGGTGGGATGTTAACAATTACATGCAAAACTATTTTGGGGATTTATCATTTGATGAATACTCTTCACAATACACTTACTCTACACATAGAGATGATGAAGATAGTGAAAAATTTGAACCTCATAGGAACTCTATCTGGTACTAAGTCACTCATGTATCTTACCATGCAATGTATAAAGTGTAAAATATTGTAGTAAATCATTATATATAAATGATTATGGTGTGTTTAATCTTTTTTTAATTAACTACTATATATTTTCTACACTCACAGTGTTTGCCAGCTTGCTGTATAATCAACTTAAATCAGTCAAATCCATCATGTAATGCATTTCCTTCTAATGTTTTTTTATAAACTAATAGATAATTGACTAAATAAACATTCTCCAAAGTTTCAATAAAAATTTCCAAGTTTTTCTTACAATGTCCGTGGTTTTTATTCAATTTTTATCGATATCGATAATATCCCGATATTTCCATTGAAATTTCCATGTTTTTGGACTATTGATATTTCCGATATCATCGATATTTTAGACCACGGTTTTAGTCAAAACAGCTTT